GCGCCAGTGTGAGGCCCCCGCGCCGTGGCTTTCCGCCCCGAGCCCGCCCCGCCCCCAGCGCCCCAGCGGGGGCCACGCCCACTGCCCCCTCCGCCACGAACGCTTTATCCCGCGTCGCACCTCCCCCCCCGCCCCCGCGCCCCCAGCGCCAGCGCGGGGCCCCCGCGCCGCGGCTGTTTGCCCCAAGCCCCACCACGCCCCCAGCGCCCCAGCGGGGCCCCCGCCCACTGCCCCCTCCGACACGAACGCTGCATTACGCGTCGCACCCCCCCCCCCGCGCCCCCAGCGCCAGAGTGGGACCCCCGCGCCGTGGTTCTCCGCCCCGAGCCCCCTCGCGTCCCCAGCGCCCCAGCGGGGGCCACGCCCACTGCCCCTTCCGCCACTAACGCTTCATCCCGCGTCGCGCCGCACACCACCTCCCCTACCTCCCGCCCCGCGTCCCCAGCGCCCCAGTGGGGGCTCCGCCCCGTGCCCCCTCCGCCCCGACAATTTTATCCCGCGTCGCGACGCACGCCCCCTCCCCCCCTCCCCCCCCTTTCCCCAACGCCCCAGTTGGACCCCCGCCCCGTGGCCATCTGCCCCAAGCCCCGCCCAGTCCCCCCTCCGCCCCGACAGTTTATTCCGCGTCGCAGCACACACCACCCCCCCTCTTCTCCGCGCCCCCAGCGCCCCATTGGGACCTCCGCCCCGTGTTCCTCCGCTCCGAGCACTTTATTCCGCGTCGCGACGCACGCCGCCTCCCCCACCCTCCCCACCTGGGACTTGGGCCCCGTTGCTGGGCCCAGACGGCGATGCTTTGCCCCCTCGTCCCCCCTCCTCCTCCACCTCCTCCTCTTCCTCCTCCTCCGCCTCCTCCTCCTCCCCCCTTCCTTTTTGTGCAAGGGCTATGGCACACGTGCCACTTGTTTGCGTGTCCTGGGGCCCCTTCAAAGACCTCGAGCCCCGATGCTCAACCGTCGTTGCCGTCGCTGCCGCCGCCAGTCCCCCCCAGCGCGCGCGCCCGCGCGCGCGCCACGGGCCACCAGAGGCCGCAGATGGCCGCCCGAAGGCCGCTCGCAGGCCGCCCGACGGTCGCGCGAAGGCCGCGCGGAGGCCGCGCGACGGTCGCGCGAAGGCCGCCCGAGGGCCGCGCGGCGGCCTGCCGAATGGCCGCCCAAAGGCCGCGCGAATGCCGCCCAGAAGGCTGCCCGAAGGCCGCCCGCAGGCCGCGCGGAGGCCGCGCGAAGGCCGCGCGGAGGCTGCCCGACGGCCCGCCGGCGGCCGACCGGAGGCCGCGCAAACGGCCTCCCCCCTCCACCCCCCGCAGGCCTGGGCGGAGGCCCTCGCCGCAGAGCCCGGGCTCGGCGCCCGAGGGCGAGGACGCCGCGGAGGAGGCCCTGGACGTGAAGAACTTCAGCGTGGCGCGTGCGAAGGTCCCCCCCCGTCCGTCCTCTCCCCTCCTCCTTCCTCGATGCAAAGAGAGCCTCCTCCTCCTCCTCCTCCTCCTCCCCTCCTCCTCCTCCTCCTCCTCCTCCTCCTCCTCCTTCCTCCTCCTCCTCCCTCCTCCTCCTTCCTGGATTACAGGAGTGCCTCCTCCTCCTTTCTCCTCCTCTCCTCCTCCTCCTCCTCCTCCTCCTCCTCCTCCTCCTCCTCCTCCTCCCCCGTCCTCTCCCAGACCCCCACTCGTTGTTGAGCAAGACGCGCGCGAGTTCTCCTGTTGTGCTTTGTCGTGCCCCAATAGGCCCTTGCCGGTGCCCTGGCTTGCAAACCGTCAGCTCGGGATGAGCAAACTGGCCTGGCCTGGCTGGGGAAGGTGTCCAGGCCCACGCTGTGACCTGGATTCGAGCCAGGTCGCTCTAGGATCACGATGCTCCAACCGACCTCCACCTTGACCACCAGCAAGAATTTCGAACACCAGGAAAGTACCGAAATTTGAAGGCTTGCGCGTGTCAGGCCCAGGGAGGCGATATACTCCTTCGACACTGCCTCGACACGTTTCTGGATGTGGTCCTGAAGCACGATGGGGGCAACACCTATCTATAGTTCAGTCGGGCCTGTCCCTCTACAGGGGAAACTTCCAAACATAGTCTCCCAAAAAGATTCTGGGGCCTGTTTTTGAATATGTTGTTTGGCCATGCTGGGGTACTTTTTGAGCATGTCTTATGTTGCGCCCAACATCCCCTCTGTAGGTGGACAGAGAAGACGCCGTGCACGTCAGAGGTGCATGGGCAGGAGAAGTGCGCGCCGACGCCACCGCAGCCGGGCGCTACGAAACTGTGCAGCCGCCCGGCGCCGCCAGTTCCACGGGCAGGCGGTCCCTCAGGAGGGAAAGCAACACACAGACACAATGAATCGTCGATTCCCAGGAAAATATGGAAAACTGTGGGAAGTGGGGGGGAAGACGGGAACCCAGACAGTATAGGAAAATATGGGGAATCTGTTTATTTGTGTATTTATTTGTGTGTCCCAGGGCCCCCTCAGTCTCTAAAAGCCTGCCCGTGCGAGCCCTTCTCGCCAGGAGGCTCCCGGGTGGACAGGCCCGCCGCCTTGCGTCTGCAGGCAGAAAATCTCCCTGGGCCCGACGCTGGGCGGCGAGGCCCGGCTCGAGGGAGAAAGAGAGAGCTGCACGAGCGAAATGGGCACGGCAAGAAGGGGTGCAATTAAAACGACACGAAGATCGGGACAAAATCGGATCGGGACAACTCGAAATCTCTGAGAATCGGCGGGTTTGGAGGATGTATTGGGCGCCGCGGCCGCTCCAGAGCGTTCCGGAACGCTCTGAGAGCGCTCCGGAACGCTCTGAGAGCGCTCCGGAACGCTCTGGAGCGATTTATCCCGATCCTAGCCCTGTTTTAGCAAGGCCCAGCAGCGGATCCTGTTCATGCTGAGCAGGACTCGCTGTCGCTGTCCACGCCGCCGCGGCCCGTGTCCCTTCGGCACAGAAGGCCGCCTGCCCAACAGCGCGGCCGCCGTCGCTTTGGGGCAACAGTTGCTGTGGGGCAGTGTGCAGTGAGCGGCTTGAGTAAGGAACACTTACTTTTCAAAAGGGGCTCGGCCGTTCCTTACGTATCCTTCCTTGTGCGCTTTTTTTATTATCTATCGTTCCTTATGGATTTTCCCTCGGGAAAACCAGGGCTTCGCTCCTTATTTCTCGTTCCTTAGGTCAGGCCGATGACTGTGCCCGCTCTTTCCTTGCCCACTTCGGGCGCCCAGCAGCGAGAGAGCTGCGGCGCCGCGGGAGCTCACGAGGGCGGGCGCCTCGCCCCGAAAGGCGCGCGGCGAGGCCCCGAGCGGCCCGAGGATTCCCCCGCCGCGAAGGGCCGCGAAGGGGCCGCCGCCCCCCCGCGCTGGCCCGCGGGCAGGGCCTGCGGGGCAAGACGGGCGAAAGGGGGGGATTGGGAAAGGGGGGGGTACGAAATTTGCTGCATGCAGCTTTGGGCGCCCGAATCATCCGGGGTAACTCGGGTCCGGGGTAACTCGGGTTCGGATTCCCGAAAAACGAACCCGAGTTAACCCTGACCCGAGTTACCCCTGATGATTCGGGGCTCTGACAGCTGGTTTCGGCCTCGCCGAGGGGCCCATGCCTCGATACATGGGCGCCTCCCGGCGCCGGGAGGCGCCGGGAAAATCAGCTACGCGAGCTGATTCGCAAACCGCCCCTTTGCTATCCCCCCCCCTTCGCCCGACCCGAAAAAATATCGGCGTTTGCGTGCCAGAGCGTTTTCAGGGAAACAAGAAGTGGCATAAACAGAAACACTCCGACGTCCGCGCGGACTTCTCGGATCGGCGCTGGGGCCCCCCCCCCCCGCGGCGCCTCCGGCCCCTGGCGCGCGAAGCGCGCCAGGGAGAGTCGACGAGCCGAAATCCTTCTCATCAGTAATTTTGGGTCTCGGAGCCCACAGGGCGGTTTTTCATGTTCTCCATTCGACGTTCCATGAAGCCCGATGTCATTCCGAGGCCGCGCGTCGAACGTTTTCGATGGCGCGTCGCGTTATGCGATGTCACGTGCGTTGGGGTCGTCAAAGGCTTGCGTGCTTGTTGCGGATCGGTTGATGTGGCTGGGGTTTCTCAGGATTGTACATTTGCTTTGCGCTGGGGCGGTTTCGACCCCCATCCCTGGCTGATCCACCCCGCGGGTAACGTCGCAGGAAGAGTTCGATCATTTCGTTCGTAGTGCCAGCGATACTGTCGCGGACATTGACCGCGCCACGGGGGGGGTCGTCCAGAAATTTCCTAGCATATTGCAGTGTTGGTTCTTCGTTTTGAAGAGACACCGCCCCGCGTCATTCCTTCCGGCCCCCTCCCTCGTCCTCCCTCTTCGCGTATCTGCCCCTGCTCTCCGCGTGTCTCCGTCGTCATCGTCCATCGTCATCGTCGCCATCACCATCATCATCAGCATCATCAGCATTCTCGTCGTCTCCATCATCAATACCACCACCATCCTCATCAACATCATCAAAACACCCCCCTTGTTCCCCCGCGTCTCTGCTTCGCCACATCCCCCGCAAGTCTCGTGGCCTTGTGAGGTGCTCCACCGAAGGCCCCATCGGCAGGGTCCTTAGTGCGCCGCCCAGCCCATGTCGGCACGCCCCTCAGACGCTTCGTGTCCCCATGAGGAGCTCATCGGAGGTCCCGGCGGCAAGGTCCACATGCCGTCGCCCACGCCACATTGATGACACCCTCAAACATTTCGTGCCCCTATAGGCAGCTCCACCCAAAAAAGGTCCCAGCGGCAGGTTTCCCAGGCCGCCGCCCAGCATATTTCGGCATACGTTTCACACGCTTCGTGGCCCCACGGGGAGCTACACCGACGGCCCCACAGGCAGGGCCCACAGGCCGCCGCCCAGCCCATTCCGTCATACGCTCACAAGCTTCGTGGCCCCACTGGGGAGCACCCCCGATGGCCCAAGCGACAGGGTCCACATGCCGTCGCCCAGCCCATGTCGTCCACGAGTGGCGCCCAGCACGGCTCCAAGAGCGCCCCAAGAGGCGCCGAGTAAGTTGCACCCTCATGCAAATAGTTTTTGTCACTTGTGGGGGTCCTCTTGGGGCCCTCTTGGAGCATTCTTGGGGCCCTCTGGGAGCGTTCTTGGGGCCTTCCCGGGGCCCCAGTGGGCCCTCGGAGGGCCCCAAGAACGTTCCCCGAGGGCCCCAAGAGGGACCCCCCAAAGTGGTACAAAGAATTCGCGCGAACGTGCAATCTGTTGTAGGCCTTTCGGGGCCCTCTGGGAGCTCTCTTGGGGCCCCCATTGGTGGCGCCTTGGGGCCTTGGGATGGCTCCAAGAGGCTTCGGGATTGCCCCAGACCGCCACAAGACAGCTCCGAGACGGCCGTCGAGCACCACGGGTGAAAGCAAGTGAGGCTAGGGAACAGGGCCTCTGGTAAGCCGCCACTGCGCCCCCTGGACTACCCAGACAGCGAGGGGACCTGAAACGCCCTGGGGCTCCAGGGGCCCCAGATTAGTGAAGTGAAGGTTTTTGCCATGCAAGCACCCCGAAATTCTTCACTTCACTAAACCGGACCCAGGACGAACTCGCTACGCTCCAGTCCCGCGGGAGATCCAAGACTCCCGCCGCCGCCCGGGGACGTTGCTGCATTGCGGTGCTCTGGTCACTGTTAATGGCTTCCGCGGGCTGCAGCGGCTCACTTCCATGACTACCCCGACTCACGAATCCAGTGGTTGGTCTGGCTCTATGGGTTGGTTTCGTTGTGTCGGTTGATTTTATGCTTGGTTGGCGGTCGGTGGATTTCGCGTTGTTCATTGGTGTCGTGAAGTGATTTGTCGTTTGGTTGGTCAGTGCCGTTTTGTTGATTCGTGCCGTTTTGTTGGTTGGTGTCGTTTCGTTGGTTGGTGTCGTTTTGTTGCTTGGTGTCGTTTTGTTGCTTGGTGTCCTTTTGTTGGCCGGTGTCGATTTGTTGGTTTGTTGGTTGGTGTCGGTTTGTTGGTTGGTGTCGTTTTGTTGCTTGGCGTCGTCCTGGCGGCGTGGCCGATAATCGGCGGCCTGCAATGGCGCCAGGATTTGTTTCGGGCCAGCCTTGATCGCCCTCATCATTCTCATATTCGTCAGCGTCAGCACTCGTCGCCCCCATCCGCGCACACATGCGGCCCTGGTACGGCTCTCACGCGGCCCTGCGAAGGCCTTCACTGTGCTCCCCAAAGCTTTCTGAGGGGCCCCCCAGAGGCCCCAAGAGGGCACTGGAAATTGTCGCTTCCAACTCCGCCAGGCGGAGGTCAACAAGGGTCTCACTGGTGCACTTCCAGGAATCGTCGTTCGATCCTCTTGGGGCCCTCCTGGGGCCTTCTGGAGCCGTCTTGGAAGCTCCGAGCGGCTCCATGAAGGCGCCGGGCGATATCGCTTCCAATTCCGCCAGGTGGAGTTAGACCAGGGGCTCACTGAGGCCCCTTTTTGCGCCCTCCTCTGCCTTTGAAAAAGCCCCGATGGGGTTCTTCAGTGCCGTCTTAGGGCCCCTAAGAGGCCTCCAGTAGGGTATTGAAGTTATCGCTTCCAACTCCGCCACGCGGAGTTGAACCCAGGGCGGCTCTCTATGGCCCTTTCGGGGCCTTCTTAGAGCTTTTCTGAGGCCCTAAGTGGGCCCTGGGAGGTGTCATTTTCACGGGCGTTGAAAGTGACACCGCGGAGGGCCCTCTTGGGCCCTTCTTGGGGCCTCACTTGGGTCCCTCTGGGAGCCCTCTTGGTGCCGCCCTGGGGCCTTCTCGGGGCCTTCTTGGAGCCTTTCTGGTGCTCTTTAAGTGGGCCCTGGGAGGTGTCACTTTCACGGGCGCTGAAAGTGACACATCGAAGGGCCCGCTTTCCCTCGTAGCGCTGCCCGTGGCCGGGGCATTGTGCAGCGCATCCCTCGTCGAACGTATTTTGTCGGACGCGTGGTCGAATTCCGCCAGTTCGGTCGAGATGGTGGTCAAGCGGTTCGGTTGCAATGTAGCCATGCGGATCTGAGCTTACCATTTCTTGCCATTTTGGCGGGGATCGCAGGAGCGTTTGTGTTGTGATCAACTGTGCTCGATATATCCAGCGGCAGCGTTTCATCCCAATATATTACTTTGAAAAAAGTCAGCAGGGGCCAAATTGCTGATGTGAAGCAACATAGGTCTCGTAGAGAGGGGTCCAGCGCCGATCCGAGAAATCCGCGCGGACCTCCGAGTTTTTATGTTTATGTCACTTTTTGTTCCCCTAGTTTTCTTTTGCGGAGCTGGGCGCCCTGGCGCGGACGGCCGAACGAATCCTGCAGCGGGACACCCTGGAAACGCGGCTGCCGCCGCAAGAACTGCCCGTTTAACGCTGGCGCCGGGGGGCCAGGTTCCCAGTCAAGCCTCAGCGGGCCGCGGCGTACCTCGGGAGTGACGTGGGCAGTAGGGAGCTCCATGCACGTGGTGCGAGGACTGCGCGGCAAGCCTGGTATTCTCGGATGCGCCGGCGTGTTCGTCGATTTGTCGGAGGCGGTAAGCGTCTCCAGGTGACTTCGAAGGTGGAGAGGCTTGGCGCGCAGGCCGCAGGATCATATGCGTTTCAGATGATTGGTGCACGTGGATCTCAGTTGCTGAACTATCGCCGTCGGCTTGCGGCGGCTTGTGGTTCTTCAGGCCGACGGCGATGTCTCACGACGGCGACTGCACTGAAGGCCCCTCTTGGTAGCGATACTGCCATCAGGATGCCGACGGAGTGCGTCAGGATGTGGTTTCAGACTTGGCGTGAAGAGCCATCGCTATGGTCCATTATGTCGGCAGCTTGGGCACGTTCGGTGGATCAGTTACGCCGCGTCGAGGTCCAGGCACGTCAAGGGGCCGATGTCGGCTATCATCTTTCTGCTGCTCAACAACGGGTGGGACCCCAAGTCCGCTCTATGTTGGGTCATGCCAGTCAGCCAGTCTGGGGAAGAGGTCGAGTGGTTATTTCCAGACACGGCCTGGGCTGGACACGCAGCATTGGATGAACTTCGTGGTCTTGTCGCAGATTTGCACGGTAGTGTGCATCAGCAGTTGTGTGGCGATGCGGCCAAGCATGTTTGTGGCGACGGGCTGGCAGGAGGGGTTGCTATGGCACCTCTTCGGCTTCTGCAGTGCCAGCTTCTCGCCACGCCAGGTGGTCTCCGGATGCCAGAGGCATTACACATGGTGGCCGCAGGAGGGTGCTGGCCACGCAGTCGTCGAGTGGACGCAGCGGGCGCCAAGGCAGCAGGCATCAGCCGCCTCTGCCCGAGGCACTTCAAGGCGCCTGAGGACCTGTTGCATCGAGCATGGGGCTGCCAGAAAAACTTGGACGCGGCCGCATTTTCGCAGTCGGTTGGCCTTGCTCCTCGAGCACAGTCCAGATGGGAAAGTGAAGAGAATCTCTGCTTGGGAGGTATGATACTATCAGCGTGGACAGCCTGCCCACCTGCCAGCGATCAAGAGGAGTGGTTTTGTCATCGACTGCGTTGGCGGCTGGCATCGACTGCGTTGGCCCCCATCACGCTCGGCGAGGGCAGCTGGAGCTCACTGTTATGGCTACTCGGTGACGCCAGCGGAGGGGCCGATTTGGCCGACCCGCGTTTCAGAAGAGCTGGGCTTTCAGTTGTGCATCTTCCTTCGTTCGGGCCCTTGGTGGTGGCAGCCACGGTGTCAGGAGGGCGCCCATGGGCACGGCAGAGCGTGCGCAGGGGGGAGCTTTACGCCCTTTTTGTTGCAGTTCGTTGCTCTCGTGGACGGGCAATTTATGTGACAGACAATGCCACGGTTGCAGACGGCCGGAGTGCGAGATTGTATGTTCATCCCGTCGGAGAGCATGCAGATCGTTGGCACTTTATCGGCCAAGAGTTTCAAGCAAGGGAGGTTGAACAGTTCACCGTCATGTTCGTGCATTCCCACCAGTCTGGCGTTCAGTTGTTTTTTCCAAGACGCCTTGGCGACTGGTTGTGGGCAACACCGTGGCTGATATCGTGGCTGGTGTCGTCGCTGCGAAATGTTGAGTGCCCGAGGACGTGCGTTTTCGTATTCCTACCGTGGAAGAGCAAACTTACCATGTTTGTAACATATTGATTTGAGCGACGGTGGACACGCTCGACTGCGACGCTGGGCTGGAGAAGTGTGATGGTCCGAGGTCAGGAGAGCCTGCTCCTTCCCCGCCTCCACCTGCTGCGGTGCGCCTGTTCGCTTCTCGTCACGCAGTGGCTGACTCCGAAAAGAAATGTGTTCTGTGCTGTAGTTTTGCGTCGCTCGCCACACTTGCCGAGTGGATGGAGTTCGTGCGTTTCCGGCCGAGTTTTGTTGATGGGAAATGATCTGCTCTCCCCTCCCCTGCTCTCCTACATATCTCGGGGGACGGGGTACACAACAGCCACCACAATAACCAGCATATGCGTTTGCATTGGCAGGTCCAACTGTTATACGTGTAGTCAAAGTATAAGCCTGAGACACTGCTGTCATGAGGTTACGACTGCAAGCCGTCGTGATTATTTGAATCGGATCCACACCGATGAATGGCCGAAGGACCTTAGCAAGGCCGAGCTTCTCACACGTGGTCATTCGTAATAGGTCGGACTCGCTGATGCGACTGGTCTCACTCACTCACTCACTTCTTCTCCTCCTCCTCCTCCTCCTCCTCCTCCTCCTCCTCCTCCCTGTTCCTCCTCTGCCTCTCTTCCTCCTTTGGGGGCGGGTCTGGGAAAGCATCGCGCGGCTCTCTCGCGCCCGCCTCCCTGCGCGCCGCCGAGGCCTCGGTGGCTCTCGGCGTGGCAGCTGGCCCTAGTAGGGCTGAGATCAGTCACAGCTTTTTTGCGGGGGGGGACAGCAGAGGAAACCCATGCCAAAAAGCATCCTGCCTGCCTCCAGGGTGCACTGGGTTTCTTGGGCCCCACCCCTCTGCGGCATGTCCCGAGCCGGATCGGCCCGTGGGGAAACTGGGCGAACACGCCCGTCGTGAAAAGTTGCAGCGCCAGGATCTCAGGGCCGAGCGCCATCCGTGGCTGGGTCTGGTGGTGGCTGCCCTCCCGGGCGGGCGGGGGGGCCTCTTCCGGGCCGCCCGGGCGGGGTCGAGGCAACAGAAGCCAATGCCAAGGAACACTCTGCTTGCCACCAGGGTGCCATGAGTTTCTCGGGTTTCACTGGTTCGGGGGTGGACAGACCTCCTACCCTGACACGTCGATTAGCGAATTGACGGTTTTCGGTTCGCGAGAGGGCGTCGCGGCCGTCATTTTTGCGGGTCCAGGTCCGTCGGTTTCGGTCCCAGGCCGTTTTCACTAAGGGGAGGTTTATTAAAGGGAGGTTTGTCCAACGCCGAATGGTCTTGCTGTGGGAAGCGTGACGGTCCCACACCAGATCTCAATGGACGTCCTGTGGTCTCAGGTCGGGTATAGCCAGGACCCCAGGTAAGGGGACCCGGTTAGTAGTAGGGCCCTGGAGCCCCTAAATTGGCCAGAATCGTTGGACCAGGTCTGCCGCAGCTGGTGTTTTTCGGGTGACGGCAGTTCCGGTTAGTGGAACGGGCTGGGGGGGGGCGTCCCCGAGTACATGATTAAACCAGGTCCCACTACTACACCCAGTTCTACCAACGCCCGATCAGGGTTGGGTTTCTTGTGGCAGGTTCCTTGTGGTCGAGCCCCTGC